ACAACAATGCTAGGCTTGAAGCCAAACCTGAACAATGCTGGGATTACTCTGTAGCAGAAACATCCTCTTATTTGGGTCATTTTTCACTTGTTTGCAGGAGGAGGTGATGTAGGAAACTCTGATCTGTTACATTTTGTTGTGATTGCTCACAGCAATGACAAAACTCAGCATTGCTGCCCCGGTGGTGACACAGCGAAGCAGGTACTGCCTAAGTGCTTGCCAGAGCGAGGGTAAAAAATACCTGGTTCACTTTTTGTGATTTAAACAGTGAACGGAGGGTGGCAATCTACAGTCTGAGCCTAGTCTTGGCTCTAATGGTTTTGGACTTTTGTTCCCTAAAGCTCCTCTATCCATCATTTTGTTAATAAAGACATTGAAAAAATGAACATTTTATTTTCAATACTTTGAATTTTTTCCTCTCCTCTTCTCCTGGATTGTTGATGATCTTTAGATGATTTGTTTTCCATTGAACATCTATTTCTTGGACCTCTTTGGCAGTACACTTAATTTTATTAAGTACCATTCTTAAGCCTTATACTTAATAAATCCAATTTACTTATTTACTGAAGGATTGAGTTAAGGCAGACTCAGAAGGTCCTGTGCTAGGGACTCTTTTGGCCTTAACACTTTCAAGCAGTAGGGTAGCAGATGCAATACATTACTGTGGATGACCAGTTACAGCCTTTGTATAATCATAAATTATAAATACAAACCTCTAGCTTTATACCATCGGCAAGCAGCTTCAATGAGAGACAAAAATCACTGAATCTAGTTCCGTGTGATGGCACTAACTGCTGGCTGATAAGGACACAGGGACACAATTTTAATAGTATATTTCAGCTAACATTCAAACCCAGGTATTGGCTGCCTCATGCATAGTTTAGGATGATTATGACATTCTTAATTGCCATGGCCTACCTCCAACAGCTGGCATGAAGAGTGCCTACCTGGAGGGGACACTACAGCTTGACGGTTGGGATGTTCTCCCAAAAGGTGTGAGGCAGAATTTGGAGCTAAAACGCTTGAGGACGACCTTGAATCCAGACTTCCCACTTCTAGAAGCAAATGCTTCCCTCATAGATACAAAAGGTGAATATGCTCTCCCTGTGTTTCACACAGAAAACTATAATGAAAATAATGGTTTTGCTCAATGGAATATAGTGAGTATGTGGGCAGGAGGCCTTACGCCAGCACCTGGACTGGGTTCCTGTCAGTTCTACAATAAAACAGGGCACTCTACAGTCCTGACACATGAAGAGGTATGGAGTCCTAGTAAAAAAAATGTCTATTAGTTGATCACATTCTTTTGCCCCCACACACAAAGTATCGTATATATTGATGTGAAACAGACTGAAACTTCTCTTACGGTGTCTTGCTTGGGCTAGGAAAGGAGAAGACCACACTGGCCCCAGTGACCCAGTGGACTGCTCTTGTGCAGGTAATTTTTATGATGGCTTTCCACTGAGATGCCACAAGATATGGGGCTCTGCTGTGGTGCAAGAGCACACCTAGGACCTGAGGACATCATACAGGAATTTTCAAATTCTTGGAGCAAATCGCTGCCCTTGAAATGCTTCCTTCATCCTGTTCTTAAAATACAGCCATTGTGACCCTATTCCCTTTGAGAGCCTGCTGCTAGTTGAATTATTGACCCTTCTATGGACTGCAAGTAGGCAAATTTCAACATTTCAGGAAGTGTTAGAAGCATAAGTGGACAGAAACCTGGTAATTTTAGGGGTTCTTTGAAAAGGCTGACTGCTACTGCCATATGGAAAAGAAAAATCAAGTTTCGAGATATCCCAGTTAGGTCACTGACAGGATGGTCTCTTTGGTGCACTCAGCTATGCCTTTGGTGCTTAAGCTGCACCAACAGAAACGTCTGCTTAATCCTTATTGTTAAGTTGCTGTACTGTATAACCCCTCTTGTTCTTCACAGCCACTTGGTAAAAATATAACTCTACTTCCAGAAACCTCAAACTGAGTCACAATAGCCTACATTGTCACAGTAGCTGTATAAAATGCAACAAAGAGCATGAAGCTAAGACACTCAGAATGTTACATACTGAAGGTAAATTTGGGATTTTCCTTCTCATGCATGCTGATAATGACAAGGCCAAACTCGACATCTGCTGTGAATCTTTGTCTTCAGTTGGTGTTTAATGTGAGAAGAGGTAAAATCAAATGTCACTCTGGCAGTGGCATGATAAATAGAGCTAGCTAACTGCATCTTCAGGCTGTTTCTTGCAGCCAGTTAACTATTTCTGAAAAGTGTATGTCGTTATAATGAGTGCTTATAAGGCTTTCTTACCAACAAAGTTCTACTCTTAAGCACTGAACTTCAACTTTCGTACTTTGAGTTCAAAATTTCATCTGAAAAGTATGTACTTCTATTACTGAAGTATGAAAATCTTCCAGCTTCTATTCTTAGCTTACTAAGATAAATAGATCCAAAGGGACCTCCACGGTAAAACAGCCAAAAACTACAAGAGGGAAAAAAAACCCCTAACATTTAACTGCCAATATTTCTATTATGGCAGTGACAGAATGACATCTCATTAAAACTTGTTTTCAAAGTCTGGTACATCTACATATCTTTCAGCCAACATGAAAAGTGTTATCTTCAGGAACATAAATACCTTCCTAGCTCATTACAAGAGCTGTTTAGCACTTCTAATCATCTCCTGATCTATTGTGTAGTCGCAGAGCACTATCTTTCTCTCCCCTCTGTATTACCTACACATTATACTTGACCTTCCTAGGACATGATCCTTTCCAATTACTGCACAGACATAGATTAAAATTTGGCTACCCCATAGCAACAACACCTAGGTGCATCAGGTTCCAGGGAAGAGAGTCAGAAGGCATCAAACAGAGAAGGGCAGACTCTCAGGAGCAGAGATGACATGCTTCAGAAGAAGCATGGTATAAGTCAGTTCCAGAAGATGATGGACTATTGAGATGTTTGGCTTGACATGAATTTTCTTAGCAATTCTGTCTTGATGGAAAGAGTAAGTCCTGAAGTAGTACCTGCTCAACCTTTAGGAAAAAAAGCTTACACAGTAATAAAGTTTAATAAACAAAACTAGACAGAACGAGATTTAAAGTGAAGACTACCATCAGTGCAAGCAATCATATGAAAGAGAAAGAGAGCTGTTACATGGGGTAGCAAGGGAGGGACAGAGAAGGTTGGACAAAGGCTTTACACAAAGTGTTCTTTCTGAAGATCAGCTGCATTTTCTAGAATAGTTGTTAAGACAAGTAAACCCCAGGCACTATTAAGCCATCCTTATAGATATACATTAAATAAGACCTTATCCCACTCCCCAGGTGGCATTCTCAGAGCATGTCCTGCTACAGATTAAGGAGCACTTAAATGGAAAACCAGAAATACCTTCTTTTAGTGAGGGATCCTGGTTTAAAACAAGAAGTCTGGCAAGAATATAGCCCCATTGGTATGAGCTGAAAGACATACAGTTTTTTAATACATCCTGAGGATCTCTGAGAAAAGCTGTACAGGCTTCCAGAACATGGACTTAAGGTTTACTTCTCAATTCAGACAACACACAAAATACATATCTTACACCAGTATCTTATTTTTGCAGTAGTCAATCAGTCACAATGCACTTTACTTTCTCAACATATTAACTCGCCCATGTGAATTCAAAACTTCCCATGCTACGTCTTAAAAAGATGTAGTTAGGGAGACAGTTTGTGTGAACAAAAAATAAATTCACACTAAGTTCTGAAGTTGTGTATTGCTGGAACACAGTCCATTGTTTGCATAGTAAGCACTTTACAGTGATGCAGGCCTTAAGTTTCTTTGGAAATGTCAAAGCTAAAGAAAAGTTTGGAAACATTTCTCCTCCTCTTTGTCTTCTTTAAGTGGGATTCAACATAAACAGAATAAGTAGATGACTCAAGTGAATAACACTAATTTTTATTTTTAAGTACAGCCACCATAAAACTTAAAAGAACTATGCAAGTCTTATGTTCAGATTTTATTTCTAATTATTTTATTATTTTATTTTAGGCCAAAGACTCTCCATTCACTGTTTGGCACAAAGACAGATAAGTTTCACTGTAGATCTGTAGTTCATAAGAAAAAGACAGAAATCCACACATTTGGTTTATCTAGTAAACAAAGTAATGCACAGCTGTGATTTCTTTTTCCCCACTCAAATACTGGAAGTCTTCTGGGAAAGACGTCTGTGCTTTGGTTAAGAACCTACAAATCAAAAGTGTAAGTATGATCCTTTTGCAGAATTACATTCTTGGAAATGCATACAGTATTGTGTACCATGTCCCTCAGAGAAGGCACAATTTATGAAAAGAATATTAATGAAAAAACAGAATAAGAGTGACATCCACTAATATTGGTGGACTTTTATTTATGTATTTATTATTTAAATCTGGGCAAGACCTCCTCTTGTATTTTCTCCCTCTCTGCTCCAAAAACAAAAAAAAAAATCTTCAAAGTAATTTCAATATTTATAAAATCAAAACTTTTTCAGGCATGAGCAATTGTAAGAAAGAAACACGAGCCAACAGTTTTCTACTAGTGCAGAGTTACTTTACAAACTAGATGTAGAATAGGCACTATGCTTCAAAAAACTCATGTATCAACAACAAGCAAATGATTACAGGCAACTTTTTTTCAGCTTCATTCTCTTTGCATACTTGAGATACTGTGGCAGTAAAGCTGATCATTTCGTCTAAAGTGCTTGATGAAAGCAGCGAAACTATAAAAATGACAAATTAGTGGAACCAAAAGTGGAAGAGTTATATTTATCATACAAAACAAGAAAAACAGGAGGATTTTCACATTTTCTTCTTCTATCTCCCTTAAAGTGTATAGAGTTTGTAACACATTTTTTTCTTTACATTTCTGGGATACGAAGTCATTTGATATAAGACTCAGGAACAATATTAAAAAAACCAAACACAAAGGCGTTAAGAAATGAGGATTACATAGCAAGTTTTAGTCATTAAAAAAAATCTTTGGGAAAATGCTATATAGTACTTTCAATGACTTTAAATGCCCCGATACTATGTATTTTACAGTAGAAATGCAAGAGCCTTTGGAATGCAGCAATGCTTGGTTCTGTGTACATTTCTCTTAAGACATCATCTTTTTCTTACATTCCACTGAGCAGAAGACCATCCCTTCCACTGGCATGAACTTCTGGCCAATGAGGCACTTGCTGCAGCAAGAACACAAGAAGCACTCCTGCGTAGCGTGCCAGTTGAAGTTGTTGTATGTCACACGCTGGACTTCGGGATCTATAGCATTGTGACAGCCTTGGCAGATCTGTTTAGAAATGAAACAACACTTAAGTGAAGCACACACATCCTCCCTAGAAATTCAATTAAAGCTGAAATTCTTCAATTATTTTCAAGAAGACGGGTATTAAAAAAGCCTTTGAAATAAGTCTCCAGCTTTTGATTTTCCTTTATTTTTAAAGCAGAGTTTCCAATCAGAGTGCAGCTAAGGACACAAAGCAAAATGGTAAACACACAGAAGTAGTTAGTTGCTGCTGGGATTAAATTTACACAGTAATGATGGTTAGGATTTCTCAACACCCAAATAATGATAAAAAAACTTGTCACACCAGGCAGTACGTATTTTAGTGTATTACCCATATATTTGAAAGGTTTAGTTACAACTTTTCCTGTGTGTTTACAGCTGTAAAGCAACGCCAAAGCATTAAAGGTTACTAAAAAGTCTTGGATGTAATTCATCTTAATCTGGTTGTCAAAAATAATTAATACTTTAAAAAGGAAAAAAAAGGCTCTCCAAAGAGTAAATCCTCACACCTACCTCAAGATTACTAACTGCCAGCTAGAAAGAATAGCTTTTCCCTCCATTAACTATATAAATAATCCAGATGCACTTCAGACTGAACTTCAACTAACAGCTAGTTAATTGGTAGATATTGAAGGGACCATCAGCTCAGATTAGAGTTCCTAGCATAACTAGGAATCAAGAACTACCATCCTTTCCCAAAATTCTAGCTTTATCCCAGTCACCCTCCTTTATAACTCAGGTGGTTAGAAATACAAAGAAACAAAGTACCTAGATTGCAGTCACCACTACAGGCTTTCAAGCAAAGCAGCTGAAGTCAAATCCCATTGATCACAATGAACTACAATTGAAATAAACTAAACTTTTTAGCAGCATTACTCGTCTTTAGTCCTCTTGGTACAGGATCCTGCTTCACCACTGACTGATAAAGCTAAAGGTATTTTCAGAACAGCCTTGACCCCTGCCAGAGGTTTTTGTCCAAGTTTATAAATTGACAAAATACTTCTATGGTTTTATGTTGTTTTTTTTTTTCAAAGGGGGAAAAGATGATTGACTTAAGCCTAAACCTGCATTCAATTTATACTCTCCAGATACTCCCACATTGGGAGAAAGTAAGAAGTTTCAAGACCCATAGATGTATGCTCCCTTCCTTCACAGCACCAACATGTCTGTAAGGGCCTTACTGCAGCATGGTTCTTCACATAGCAGGGTTTGCAGACTGGCTTGTCGTTCACCATGACGTAGATTTCCCCAGCCAAAACACAATCGCAATCAAAACAGCAGAAATGCTTCAGATGCCAGTTCTGACCCTCCGCTTGAGTATATTCATTGCTGAATATTAGCTACGAAGAACATAAACAAATATTAAATATATGCATTTGAATAATATTTCTTCTAATAAAGCTAGCCCTGGGATGTTTAATTTCCAACTCCTGGTGATTCCACCCTTGCAAATTATTTCATCAACAAAAACAAATGCGTTCACTTGTTTGTTTCTTAAAAGTCTCCATTTCGTTTATTAAGAGCCAATAGATGCTAAAGACAGCAGGCAGGCTGCTCTCTATGCTGCACTGGGTGTAATTTAGTAAGGCGCTCCCCCTAGTGACCTTCATGAGGAAGCAACGGCATAATTCAGACAAGAATCTGCCTTCACGTATTACATCCCATGTCCCTGCAAACCACACAAAATTCCCACCAAATCCACAGGAAATTATGTATTTTCCTGAGAGTTAAGTGTCCAAACCAGTTTCAGATCCTTGCAACTATAATCCGCTCAAATTGGTGAAGGCACATCATCACCCTGCACTTAAATATTTTACCAAAAAAATCATGTTCACTTCTTAGGGGAACAAATTTGTGTGCTAAAACAAAGGACTAGGGTATTTCCTACCTCATCACATCCAGCACAGCGGGGTTTTTCGCTATCGCAATAATGTCTTCCACAGTACAGGTTACCATTCTTCCAGAAATAGATCATGTCTACTAGGAGTTCACTGCAGGTGCAGCAGACAAAACAAGCTGGGTGCCACAGTTTGTCATATCCAGCGCGCTCTGCATAGACAGCTGGGTCACCTTCTTTCATGTTCAGTTTGCAGCGATAGCAGGACTGGAAAGAGATTATCACCAAGTTAAATAAGTCTTTGAAGAGGTACATTTATAGTAATTACATATTACTAACATATTTAATAAATCTCACCTTCCTGAAATGAAAGCATTATATTACTCCCATGATAAGACAGTAGTGTGACATGATGCCACAGTACAGGCTTAACGAAGCAATTTAAGATGATGCACATTCTACTGAAATAGTAGTAGTGCTACTTAAATGGATCACTGTATTTTGCCAAATTCACAATTTTGCAACTGCAGCCCAGGTCAAAAAAAACCAAAAACAAAAGTAAAAAACCCCCCAAAACCCCACAACTCCCCTCCCTCCCCCCAGACAAAACCCAGCACCATCACACAATTAAAATTCACATTGTGGTCTTGCATACTCAAGAATAAGGAGAGAATAATAAGGAGCCCCCAAAGCAGACTAGACTGTGACTAGAACACACAGGAAAAAAAAAAAAAAGGCTGTACTTATAGGTCATGAGAAGATCAAGCCATATCTGCATCACTAGTGAGAAAAAAGATGAATATTTAAAACTCATTCTGTTTAAAGCTGTGTTCTCATGTCACTCATGGCTGCTGTCCAATAGTCTGCGATTAATGATCTTAGGATAGGGAGAGTGATTATGGAAAAGGGACTACAAAGTTTATGAACACAGCCACGCTACAAACAACTCCAAAACATTAATAGTCTCTCTTCTGGCCTATACATGCTTACAGAGAGCTTTGTTATCAAGTAAAAAACTGCAGGTGGTACATGTTACAAAAGCAAAAATTCTAATCTGCAGATTAATCATCAATTTGGCATTTCCTGCACTCCAGTTGGTCTGTGGACTGGGCTGAACATCCTGGGAAGGTTTTTGCTATGATTCACATCGCTACAAGCCCAGCCACAAATGGCCTCAGTTTTCAATTGACAGTGTGTGTATATATACATACACACACACACACACACATATATATTTAAAGTGACTTGGCTGTAAGAGTTATTGCTCAGACCCCCACACTTGTTTCAGACAAGCAATTTCGAAATACACATAGAAAGACATCGAAAGGGGAGGAAGAAGAGCTTGGAGTAGAAGGAAAGGGGAAGTACTGAAAGAGAAAGTGCAAATATATATGTATATAAAGCTTTTTTGACTCTTCTTTCTATTTTAGACCTTATACTCCAACAGGAGTCAATTGGAAGGTTTAGTTGTTGTATGGACCTAGATCAGGGCAATTTGCCGAACATCTGCAAATTTCCAGCCTAGGTGGTTAAAGGTACATAAAGAGATTTGCTTCCTTACTGCATGAAAATATGCTGAGTATCCTTTTTTCTGTTAGTCAGCTTTTAATCATGGTGAAATATCTATTTATTGTAAACACAGAGGCAATTATTATTGGTATATTTACATTAATAGTGGAGACTTGGTTTTTTGTTTGGTTGGTTTTTTTCGTTGTTGGTTTTTTTTAATCACGTTTAAAAGAATTGCAATCAATTGTTATAACAAATTTTTCAAGAGATTCTATTTACCACAGCTAGAGGAAAACATCCTTTCAGACTCAATCTGAACGAAAACATACAAGAAGATTTGGAGAACAGAGATGTAGCACTAATAGAAAGAAAAAAGTGGAGACAAGCATGGCAATTCTTCTGCAAGGTATTTAAGAGCTCTTCTCTGTATTGGTTTATTTTGAATTGTTAAAAAAAAGAATTTGAGATGATACCACAGCATATAGCTCAGACTAAGTCACATTGGAGAAATCAGACAAAAAATACTTAAAATATCTAAATCCTGATTATTTAGCCCAGGATAAACGCAGTGCCTAGCAATACATAAGGAACTCAAGTGTTCACTTACACTGTTAAACACTTCTAAGCCTCTGAATCACTACCCACAGTGATGAGAGATGCCTGGCCTAAACAGTAGGTATTCTCAGCTGCTTGAGTAAGAAAGCATTGGAAATTACAAACAGGTGTAACATGAAAATGAAGCATCTTTTAATAAAATTACTCAAGAGGAGAGAGTGCTTCCTGCCCCTGGCGTAATGTAGTCCAAGTCAGTTGGCCAGCAGGGTACAGTGCAAGGTGTGTATTTCTGTGCGTCTTTCTTGATGAGGTAAGTACAGAATTGCTGTGGTGAAACCAAAATAACCCAGCAGGAGAGGCTAAGTAATGACAAAATGACAGCAACCTAAAGCCACAATAAAACAACATTTTTAGTAGTCTAGAATTTCAGTGACAAGATAATAGCAGAAATAACTGAATAATTAATTTTAGAAAGTAGCTTCAGGTAACTAAGTGGCACAGCTTATCACTGATTAAGGTAAGTGGGCATGTTCAAAACTAAAACTTAAGTGTTAAAATACTATGTCAGTTTAAGAACCAAAACCACACCACCATCCCAATAACACTAAAAGCCATACTCTAAAACCATCTTAAACCTTTATCTCCATCTAAAACTTGTATAATCCTTTCCTGTAAGTAACCTGGAGACAAGTAATTTTTAGGATTCATACATATAACAGTAACATTTCTGCAAATCAAGTTACAGGAGCTTTTGCCACTCTGAAGTGAAGGTCTACCTTCACTAAACTGATTTAATGTTACTTCAGTAATCCTATCCCTATTTTGTATTTATAATTGGTCACAGACACATGTATAACAGAAGTTATGTCAGAAATACCTTATTAAGGCTATAGTTTTAGAAATATCAGTGAAAACCATGTAATTTAACATACTTTTTTTGTGGAACTATTACAAGGCAGAAATCAGATGCCAAAAAAATAGAACAAAATAAAAAGTCCAGCCGTTATATGACTTGGCTTGTTGAACACAGGAGGGAAAGGTGTTACTTTTTTATTTCTTAGTTTCATTTAATTTTAAACACAATTTGTCAAGTGGGTAATTTTGGTGCTCTTCCAAGAAAAAGGAGAAAAACAGGCTTCTAAAATGAAACTAAACTCTTCAAGAGGACAAAAGTGCAGCAATTAGTCCATAAGATTACAGAAGTTTCTTGATTATTATTCTGTAAAAGCTACCCTGCTATACTGTATCTCCAAGATAACGTTTTTGCAATGGGGATGAAAAGGTCACCTAGGAAATTATTTGCTGCAATGCACTAAATACAGTCAAAAACCAGAGTTCTGTGCAGACATTCACAATGTTTTCCAGTTCCCCTTATTTCTTTCCCTCCCTAGATTTTCACTCTTTCAAATTAACAAGCAAGTTAATTGGGTTAAAATGACAAAAGAAAGCATTCCAATGGTAATATACTTCTTTTTATTTTTCTTATACTTACATATTGAGATGCCTTCCGATCTGGGGACTTGTTCTCCATCGCTCCTACAGCAGCTGAGGTGCCTCTGTCACCATTGTTCACGTTATTATTCTCGGCAGCTCTCGCTTCCAGCTCACCAGGGAGCTTGACATCTCCTACACCAAGCGCCTCGTTTTTGTACTTCTTCACAAACTGTTCCATCTGCTTAACTTCATTGGGGGAAAGCTCATGGCATTTGGAAGGATCCTGATCGTGAGCAGGCAGCTGCTTTGCCAACTGCTTCTTCCTGTACTGCGCACCTTCCGAGCCAGCAACAGGCTGCTTCTCCTTTGGTAGCATCTGCATATACTGTCTAGCCTGAACCAAGGAGGAATTAAGATATCAGATGCCACTTCAACTATAGACCCATCCTTCTAAGCAAACATGCGACTAAAATCATCTCTACTGTTGTTAGCGACAGTCAGATTTGTCAAAAACAAGGTTCTTTCCATAAACATTAAGCTCCTGAAACAGCAGATTGAGATAAAATACAGCAGATGCATTAATTATCACAGAGTATGAGACAGACCTCCTTTTAAGTCTTTTACAGAACAGAGTTATTACTTCTCAGATAAACAATAATTAACATTTACACAGTACCTTGTCTCTTCAAAACTATCTGAAACTACTGATCACCAACATAGCTTTTAAAAGTAGAAGCTGAAATAGTTTGACTGGAGCATGCAGCCTGTTGCAAAAATAATTCTAGCTAAATAAAGACAAAAGCTCCAGTTTTAATAAAGCACAGACAAGCCTAAAAAAATCAAATCAAAGTAGCAACTGAATGTTAGGTAACAGTTAATTTAGATACACAAGTTAAAATATCATTTTTCAGTGAATTAATCTGAGAGGTAGGTCACAGATACTGCAATTCCAGCATGGATCACACAACATTGCAGTACAGTAAATTAGCAACAGAAGTTCAAAAACTGAAGCAAAATCCTCAGAAGGCTATCTACCATCTCATCTACTTCAGCTGAAAACATACTGGAAGAGAGTTCTTCTTTTAGATGTCAACACTGATCTTGTTCTTACCATATACAGTAAAAGCTATATACAAGACTGATTGTTTCCCTTAACTTTAAACAAAGGCATAAATTGTTGTGGGGTTGGTTTTTTTAGTTAGAGGTTTTTTTGTTTGTTTATTTTGCTTTTTAAGCCCACACTCCATGCAAATTTTTCATTTAAAAAGGCAGATTAGAGAAATTACACTCCAGGGACTTAGCAGATAACTCTGAATCCTATCTAATAAAAGATACCTCATCTCCCTGGATCTCAAGAAGTTCCATAGATAAGTATCCATATCTGCAAGATGACACAGGCAAGACTCATTAAGCAGGCATAATATTTTCAGTTTTGAGGAAGAAGAAAAGAAGAGGTACACACAGAATGAGTACAAGGGACAAATCTATCCTTCCAGTAAGCTCTACTTCTCTGTCTCCCATCAACTCCTGCCTTGAACATGAAGAAAAAAAAAAAAATGGGTCAGACTTACAAGTGTCTGATTCTGAACAGGAGGAGCCCACTCATAAGTCACAGTATTGATGGAAATGTTCTTCTTGGCTGGCACTGGATTAGTCAGTATCATTACATTGCGTTTATACATGGGAATGCCATCATTCTTCAGCTTTGCAATAAGGGTGGTGTATTTTGTATCTTCAAAGAGTTTCCCTACTTTCCGATCTTCCTCATTGCTTGTGAGGACATCATGCTCTTCCTGGCCACATTTGCAGTTGCGGCATATTTTTCTGGAATTTATGGAAAAAAAACAAAGTCATAGTCTCAGCTGAAAATTGCATCTCACACCAGCTGCATGTGTAGTAGTATCACTGGAAACTCAAAACTTTGTTTTCAGTGCTTTAGTTACAGACTATATAAGTTACTAAGCAGTATGTCAAACACCTCTTGAGCATATTCTTTATTTCTTGTATTATTTACATTCTTTATGTATCTGATCACAATCTCTGTGAATATCAGTCAATTACACCAATGCATTTTGAGTATGATGCTACATCATTCTTTCAGTTACATCTCAGTACTGATCACACGTATACATGTGCATTATGACCCACATACCAGATTTATTATAAGCAGCCACCCATGAGTTAACTTAAATGCATCAACATGATCCCCCAGCAATCATTTATTTGGGCTTTTAGTTTCTCAGGTTCTCTGTATACACACTCAAAACTACACACACTATACTACTCTCTTCATATGCATTTCATTATATGCCTGACATTTCCTTATCACAGGGATGCTATCAAGTGGAAACAAATATTTCCTAGAAAGGAAAAAAATGCACACAGCTATACATACAGCATAATTACACCAAGTACTGTTCAGCATTTAAAAGAGTAGATGAAAGAAAAGTGAAAAGCTTATATGGACAAAGCCTTCCAAATAGCACTGAATCAAATCAGAGGTACTCCGGCACATGCTGCACGGAGAATTTTCACAGATAACATCCTTAAAAGGTAGAAGGCTTTACTTAGATATAAATGGTGTTCTCTCACATATAACATATTCGAGCTCCTTTGATTAAGGAATTATTAGTTAGCAATTTATTACTTTAAGCATAATTAAACAATTCACATTTAATAAACAGAACCTTAGATTAGACAAGCTCATTTGCCATTAACTAATGTCTTCCCCAGAGCTCCAGTTCAAAGCAGTCAGCCACAGTACACAGAGATTAACAAGGTTGGATGTTAACTAAATGTTCTTCTTATAGCCCAAGAAAACAGACCAACCTTCTCGATCTCTAGTTTGAAGAGGAATGAGTAATATTTTACCTCATAATTTACTCTTCACATAGCATAAAACGACTTAACTATAAAACGTCTTTCAACCCTGCTCGCCAAAACCCATCTAACTCTAAAATTGTCCTGCATATTGCTATCTAAAGTCTCGAAGGCAAGATGGATGTCGTAAGGTATGTAACAGTTACATGACAAGAACAAGCAATAACTACAGCAAGCCCATTAGGTGATGGAAAAGGAAAGAAGAAGGACCTGCACAGAACTGGTCACATGAACCCGACGTGATGCACAGCCAGCTCCAAAGACAAGCACTACATACACACACCATTGATGGGGGCACTGCCATTTCAGTGTGTGATGGATGCTGCACGGGTCACGTTATTATACAGCAACCACAAGTTATGGTAACCGAAGTTACGAAGCCCACTCCAAATACAAATAGCTAACCCTGCAATAGAAATGAGCCACTCCATTCTGAAAATAAAGAATAAAAATAAGAAGATTAAGCAGAACAGACTCTGCTTTGCAACACAAAAAACCTCAATAAATGAAATGTAGGTTGTCTGACAGCTTGCATGACTTCCAATGCATTTCCACATCAGGAAATATGCATAGAATTTCAAAGCTGATAACTTATCTGGATACCTAGTAACCACTAAGCACTTTGCAATCTCCCAGCTTCCCAAAATTCTCCCAGTGTGAACTAGCATTGCCCACTAAGCCTAAACGCTGTACTATGCATCTCAAGCACTTGCAACATAAAACTTTGGCAATCCTCAGCATCAGTCTATATGAGTCCTTACTTAGCTCATACTTAGAGATTAATGCACTATTAAAGCAATTTATATACACTTTGCTCATCTTTTTTAAGGTATGCATGTGATTATAACCTATTATCAATCCTCAATCATGTCTTCTTCAGGATCTAACACCAGGTGACAGAATCGGACCTTACTTTTGGCATGTTTACTTCATTATTACGACATGACCATCACACAGCTATATGCCTCACAGCACCGATGCAACTTGAATTCAACCAGTTAGTCCAAATGAACAATAGCTTACCAGATATTTTCTTCGTTTTTTCAACTGAAGTCTTCAGCAATAGTAAGCCCTAGCTTTAGTCTTGTTTCTTGACAGGGTGTGCTTTAATAACGTTGGTGAACAGACAAGACAATTCCCAGGCAACCTACAAAGACTCATACGAGGAAAGTATAGCCTTGCTGTCCAGAACTGCTCTGCTTGTACAACAGAACTCAGTAAGAACAAATTGTATTGTTGTACTGCCTGTGTGGTCACAACTTGGCGCAGCTGTCCCCACTCGGTACAACATCTAACTGCAGTGCAGCAGCATCAACAGCCTGCAGAGACCAAACCATCCCCAACAAGTCTTCTCCTAAGATTTTCACGTGTGCTGGAAAAGCCACAAGGGCACCTTATTTTTGCTCACACTATGTCATGAAATTGCATTTTTATTTTCTAGTAGTATCCTCTCAGAATGCAGAACAGCTTCGAGATCCTGTTTGTTTCCAGCTAGGAAAGCACCCTGACTCAAGTGCTTTTATCATCTTCAGTCCCATCTTGAAGCCTTAACACATCGCACTAATTTCAGAATCCTTGTGAGATTTTCTGTTGTCTCGATAAACAGATAGACAGATACTTGCAAAGAAGTGAAAGCATGCAACATGTCCTTCTCCAGGTCCTTCCTGGGTCCCACTGTGAAAACCAGCATAGAACTACAGTGCTTTACACCTGCATTAAAAAACCCCCGAGATACTCACTAATCTCCCTCTATCCCAGACTTAAGAATTTGGCTGTGTACATTTCAGTCTAACGTTATCTTCTTGCTCTTTCAGAATTAACTGAATATCTCTTAGCCTCTGTGGAGTTTGTAATAAGCTGTTACATGGGCTATGTTACAAAATTACAACTGTAGTGGTTCTGACATTACAGCCTGTGAAAAGCCTCCAAATTAAGCAGAAAACAATCCAGAAAGAATGTGGAGAATGCTGAGTCACATCTGAGGTCAGCTTATCTCAGTAGGTCCAAGGAAAATCTCAAAGGCTGTTGCCATTTTCTCTGCTCCCCGAGGCTCTCCTGGATCTCAGCCACATGAAGATGTCTGTGCACTGCTAACAGCCAAAAAAAGTTTATTCTCCTGATTTATTATCCCTTTTCTTGAATAATTTCCAGTCCTAAAAGATGTCCAGTTGACATTTCCGCACATTACTCTTCCTGCAGAGTACCGTTTACAATTTAGTCATACCTTCTTCCAAAGGGTGCCACATCAGAGTCCTGTTCATTAGTCCCTGCCCCTTTTGCAGAAGGGCTATGACCAATTACTTCTGCTTAGAATGGACCAGCTGATCATTTCTTTGACTACAGTACAGCTATCTTACTGAAGCAACCCCATCCCATTACCTCAGACTTACACTTCACAAGTCTGTCTGATAACTGAGACTTAATTTTTATTTTTAGTATTAAACCAAACACCTTCCATGTGCCTAGAAAACCAGTTGCTATTATATACATACATACATATATATAAACACATGTGTATATATAGACTTAAATTTATCGCCTTTGCCTTGATCAGGAAGATAGGCACTGAGAATTTCTTGTTCTCTTCATCTACATTGCCAGAGATATTTTCCCTTCATGTGAGGGCATTTGGCAGGATCCCTGCTGAAGGGGGTCTTAGGGACTCCTGCTTATATGTTCACAGCTCTCAGGACTTCAGCAAGGGAGAGAAATGTTCCTCCAGTCAAATCTCAGCAGTTTGGGAAGCTTTTCCCATTCAAAACATGGAAGATAGGGAGAGAGCTTCAAAGTTTGTGGGACTAAAAGCTGCATATCACTGTGAAAGACAGACGTAGTAGATTATGTCTTGCTTCTAGGTCTTGAGCAGGAAGAAGGAGGAAGGTAAACAGATTCCACCTTCTTTCCCAAGCTAGTGAATTTCTATGTTCTGGTTGTCTACTGACAGCAAGGATCAAAGCAAGGATCTGGTTAACCATCCACCTACTTTTCTATATTTTGGTGTATAGAGAGGAAAAATAACTTGGATCGTGACCCTTCCTACACTGTCTTTGCAGTGTTTCCTAGTGATAGGAGACAGCAGCTGCAAACACAGAGAAGCAGTCAACAAATACCTAGCAAGTCCTGCGGCTTGTATCCTCCACACAGAAAGACCAACCTCTTCCTATGATTCTTTCTGTTATGTGTTATTGCTATTAATCTTGCTATAGTAATTGTAAATGCTTTGAACTATGCCTCAGTACTTACCAGTCAGATGTAGTATCAGAACATGTTAAATCCAACCTTAAAGCTCTCCCTGTCTTCCAGGGATTTTATCTGTGCAGAGAAGCCAGATGCTGAAAAAGGTCATTCCCAAGCTTAAGATTCATGTCTCCGGAAGCTTTTTAATATCTTGGCAAGCTGCATTGTCTACAACTATTGCTTTCTGGTATATACATGACCAAGATGAATCAGAACCTTCCGTCCTGCTTTTAGCAACTTCTGACTCCTGTCCCACACTTCCCTCTAGTGGGAAGCACTATCCCAAGAGCAAACGCATACCTCAGCAGCAGTCTCTTATAACCAGCCTGCCCTGCTAATTCTGTGGAGGCAGTTTTGCATCTGAAAGAAGTCCAACACCTCAACTGAGAAGACCCTGCCTGCTGTTGCTGCTATGCTTGGACAGAAGCATGATTTCGAGGACAATTTCAAAAGCAAAAGCAATTAATGCACTAAGATGAAGCAGGTGATTGTCCTCTGTTCAGTCACCACTGTAGACCATGACTGTCACTGTATTCATTTGGTCTTCAGCTCACAACACTGAGGCTTTCAGTAAAATTTGTTCCCAAATTTTGAAGTTCTAAGAGCTTTGTCGACCACCATTTCTCTGCTAGCCTTAATTAACAGTTCTGAATCTATGTAACTATACCAGACACTGTGCAAGAATTATAGCACAAAATGCTTAAAGAGCATTTGCTACCCTTGAAGAGGTATTTTTCAAACACTCCCAGTACAGAGAAGAATGGTGCGGCAACTCCGTGTTAAACCCTGCTACCAGACAGGTATACTTGGATTTTTTTAGTGCACTTTTCAATCTGACTCCCCAGAGGCAAGAGCCGAGGCTTTTTTTGTGCAGAAACTCACAGATATACTCACCTCTTTGGAGGTACACCAGAGTTTTCATGCATCAGACCAAGGAACAAGAATTATGGGATCTGCTGAGGCTCCTCAGCTCCACCCAGGAGAGGGCAGTGTCCCCCTTGCACAGACCACAGCAAAGACTGCAGTCTGCCCATGCTGCACACACAGCCACTGCCACACTGTGCTATGTCGGGAGCATACAGGTACTTTTCTTCATAGCACCCGTATGGTGCTGTGTCTTGGATTTGTGGTTGTAACTGGGTTGACAGCACTTGCTACTGCTAAGCAGAGATTGGAGAGTGTCAGGGCTTTGTCTTTTTCTGGACTTAATACTCACATCACCAAATAAGCTCGAGGTTGGTAGGCAGCTGGGAACGGCACAGCTGACTCAAACTGGCCATAGGGATACCCTATGACACCTAACATCATGCTCAGCAAAAAGATAGGACAGAGGATGAAGAAAGCAGGGTTTCTAGCTTGGTAAACATAACTTCAGAAATTTTGTATCTTTTTATCCCAAATTCTTCCCTAGGGAAGATTAAGCCAGGAATTACAAGGTCTGTTAATAATAGGAACTAAGGAATAAGACTATAAGAAAGAGTGGAGAAAACATTAACTGGCCTAGTCTTTCTCCCCGACTTGTGATTTTTTCCATTTATCACACTGGCTCTAAAAGATCTTTCTCTCAAGTAGGAAGTGACAAAATTTCTCATCCATCTCATGGATAAACAACAATACTTGCTCCTGCAAAAATTTTTATTCTGTTTTATCAAACTGCCTACACATGTTAACTGTATTCTATTTTTCTATTATATCCACATGAGTTATTGAAAAAGTCTTTCCATAAATTATTAATTTCTTCTATTTTTAGATGATCATGTTTACTTATTAGAGTATTACCACTCCTTGGTCCATGTCCTTATTTGTAAGTTATTTTGTATAGTTATAAGTTACAGATACATAACCAAGAAGCTATACCCTCAACTAACAGCAAGTTTTTGCTGTGGTCTGTTTCTCTGATTATTTTCTAAATTGAATGTAAGCTGCAGCCAAATACTTAGGTAAAGCTGTGAAATCTCCAAGGCCTTATCTGCACCTGATGCCACTCTGGCTGGGATGTAAAGATTACCTTAAACAAACAAACCCAAACCCATGAAATAAAACTCTACTGCAGATACAGTTATGACTGTAACTAAACAGCATTGGTGAAATGCAGTCGATTCCATTGCTAGTATGTGCTAGTGCTACTAACTATTATTTCATATCCTGTGCAGGCTGCTCCCTTTAAGAGGGCTTTTTTCTTTAATAAATCAGAATCACTAAGCTATATGTTGAATTATACAGCTATATAAAGCTACATACACCCAGTATAATCAGTGAACTGAGCTAGCTAGACATACACATTAAGGCTTCAGTAAGACAACAAAAGTCTTAATGGAATACAAAATTTCTGCAGAGGTAATGGCATAGACTAATAGTGCACAGCCTATTTACTGCAGCTATCATGAGTTCTTACTGGTTTAGGAAGAACACATCATCCAAGGCCAAGTACTATCTAACTTGAATTATTACACCTCTTTTCCCTTCTAAGTCACTTGTAGATGTACACAAAGTTCCAGTGTCTTTTCAAAATAAGATAATTTACCTAAAATCTCAGAGCAAAGGTTATGTATTAGGTCAGGAGCTGAGAAAGCATTTTATTGCTGAGAGAAAGCACACTTCTTCCCTGTCACCTCTCTTACCATGGGGACAGATGTCTGCACAAACCTACTTCAACTGTTTATTAAGCTAAAGCAAATGCTTCAGTACAAGTGCTACCATTGACTTCAGTACAGATGAAATGTATGTTTGTAAGTGATTACATACTTAAACACACTGTTGTAATGCAGCTGAGAGGCCCTGGCCCTGAACCTAGACACAGCTTCTTTAAAGCAACTGAACAGTTTAATTGAAAGAGAGAACAAAAGCAATTATTTATACATTTGCATACATGTACCAAGATCTGCAGTGCTGAGTCACAGTTTTGGAGACATCCAGTGGCACTTACCTCCAGAAGTGAAGCTCAAATCCTTCACACTTATCCTTGCATTTTAAGCAGGGGGCACCAAATCCTTGCTCATGGCCCAAGCCCATCTGTGTACAGAGTAAAAGGAAAACTACAGTTAGCTTCAAGGAATATGCTGCATGAAGGATCTTACCGGCTGCCTTTACAATCCACAGTCCACAACTAAAGCAAAAGATTAAGCCATGAGGACAGCATTATAAGGTCCCCTCACCTTTCCATTGTACCTACTCAAGTGTTTGTTTGAGCCTGTTGCAGGGTTGAGCCAGCAGACAAAGTTAGCCTTAGCCAAACCAAGTATTTTTCTGGTCATTTGTCTCCCCAGCCCAGGTCACTCTGCAAGCTTCCCACAAGGGAAGAAGCAGGTTCTTTGCAGCCCTGACTTAATTCTGTGGCTGTGCAACCACAGCGAGTGAGGCCATAAGACCTCAAGTCAATGGACATTTAATCCTGCTGTCAGGACAAAGTGATTTGCAGCATATGACTTGGCAAAATACAGAGGATCAAAAAATAAACAGATGCCACATTTACATGCACTAACGTGGGCATCTGATAGGAACAACTAAAACATGTAAGTGATTAGTCTAACATTCCTGAGTATATTTGAAACTGCTTTGATCGTGACTGAGAGCAGAACATACCCTTTGTGTTTCAACTGGACTACTACCAGTTTACTTTCCAAGAAGAAACAGCACAGTTAGCAAAAGCAATGACCATAAATGATACACAAAGGGTTTCACTGTGAAGAGATTAAAAGGGCAGATGACCAATTCACAATGCAGAGAAAATATGAGAACATAAAAACCAGAGCAGAGCAAAGGCCAGATATTCACACAATATATCAACACATCAGCAAATTTAACTGAGTAACAGCCACTGGAAGTTAGAATTGAAAAACAGATACCAAGCACTGTAACTTCTGCCTTCATATAACACAGTAAATTTAAAATGTCTCATTCCAGCTCTTTAAACCTTTGGAGAATGTTGCTCTTAAATCAGATGGATTAAGGACCATAGCTTTGTGGTCACAGCTGGGTGTGCAGGCTGAGGGGAACCCATCCCCACACTCTCATCTGCTGTGCCAGTAGTGTGAGGAGCACTCCCAGGGAGCTGTGGGTAGATGCAGTGGGTGCAATAATAATCATGAAGGAGACAGCTCACCTCCAGTTTGCCTTTTTACCATGAATGGAAAGCAAGCTCAGGCTGACAAGTTCTAGTACTAATCTTAGCTCTGGCAACAATAATACAACACCAGGGTTAATTACATGTGATTATATGGTTTTATTAAGAAGTTTGCAATTTACTCTGAGAAGTCATACAACTATTGTTGTACGTACGAGGATATAAGCAGGTCAGCTTTCACCTTGTTTCTGTCCACAATGAAGGAACAGATTATCCACAAACCACTTGCTCAACACAGAACACATGATAAGAAGCAGGAAAGACCATGTTCTCAGTTATTCTGTAATTTGAAGGATCATTGCCTCTACAGTAATTAGACATCCCCAAGGAAATTATGAAGGTTTCCTGCAGATTATGGTTTATTTAGGAAGAGGAGATACTTTGGCAGCTATTAAGCTACTGCTTGCAACTACAGGGGCAGACAGAGGGACATGAAATTATTTCCTCCTTTCTTATCTAGAAGAAAAAATACAAGCCCGCTGTGATAGTTGTGACTTCTTTAGGAGCCTAAAGGCTCAAGAAGTTTACATGCTGCAGGCACTAACCTGAAGCCAGACCAATAGACACCTAAAATAAACATAATTTTAAAGATTAAGTTCTCTTCAAACAACCACACTTTTGTCATATTGGATATATAAAGCTAACAGGTTAATACAAGGTCACCTCCACTGAAGATGGGTGTTTACAGAGGTCATCTCACCTGGAATCCAGAGCCCTGCCACAGGCACACTGTACATCACGCACACACCCTGTACATCAGAAAAGAACTAAATGCTCACACACAAACATGACAAAATGTTGGCCAGGATGTTCTCTGAAGAGAAAGAGGAAGCTAAAGCAACACAAAACAACTGTGGGTGTTCTTTCAGGACAGGTTGTTTTTTTGATGCCGGTTGATTGGTGTTTTTTGGGAGGTTTTTTTTGGTTGGTTTTCAAAACCATCCTCCCTAAAAAGCTGTTAAACTTAAATTGTGCTTGCACTGTCAAAAAAAAAATAAATCTCCCTCCTCCTCATTCCCTCAAAACCAAAAAAAAGCCCAAGTCAACATTAACCCATTCTCTCTAGCTGCTGCTTCAGCTAGAAACTGGCATTGCTTCTTTCTGCTTGCGCTCTCCCCTCCTTTAAAAAGAGGGGAAGAGGCAAGAAGGGGAATAATGAACATTTTATTAGTGTTGTAATCAGAAAGCCTAGAAACCTAGGATCACTTGTGGACAGAGCACTATTATGCAGTACACAGAGAAATAACTTCAACATTTCAAGAATTCCCAAAACAATCAGAAATGCAAGAAAGAAAATGAAGAGTTTTTGCAATTTTTGTAATACATCGTTTCCAAACCTCCTAATAATTAGGGAGCTTTTAAGCCAAAAATACCTCTCCAGAAGCAAATTAAGGAGAGAAAATATATGCTGTCTAAATTGCTCCACCCAAAACATACTCCCTCTCCAGATTAAATTGACAACAACCAGCCAGCCTACTTCCATCTTCACAAGCAGCAGTCTCGGCACAGATTTCTTCAGTAACACTGGATTCCACGTCCCCACTCCAAGAATAAAGAGCCCATCACTAAATCATCATTAAATAAATACTTGTGCAGCTTGAGACAAAAACTGAATCAGCAAACAAGACAGACTTATTCAGACATATTTCTCAGTTCGCTGCAAAAGAGAAAGAAGGGAATGACCTTTCTATGTGTGATGCCTGGTCACCTTATGGAAAAGATTTAGCTTGAAACTAAGAGGCACATTGAGAACTGAATTAGACAATTCCAGATGCATGCACAGGCTCTGCCTTTGTTCTGACAGAGAAACTACAAGGCTACTTGCCAAAAATAAAGATATAAAAGAACAATAGCACATAGTACTTGTGACTATCTAAAAGTCAGTGCTCTACAGTCCTGTAACAGCAATCTTCTGATTCAACGATTACCTAACTCTTGATCCATTTGGATGTTTGAGTGGCCACCTCAAGTGATATTGTTTCCCATTTCCAATGCAAGTTTGAGGAAAAGCACCCGTACAGAACAACAGAACAGATTTCTAGCATATCCTAACGTACTTTACCTTCACATCTTTGTAAGTCCCTAAAGCCAAGTACGAAGAAAGCCAAACAAAAAAACCCACCACAAACAAGTCGACCATGAGAATGAGACACATTAGACTCATGTGATGTGCATGCTTTATTGCCGAGATCTGATCTTGTATCACTATATTCTGTACCAGCAGAAGTCTTCTCTAGCAGGGAAACACAACAAACTGGAAATTAAAATAGGCTACAGTATTTAAACTTTAAAAACAGAAGAGCTATGCTATATCTTTTGATTCCAGAATGGAAAAAAACCAACCACAAAAGACATTTCTATCTGGACAATGCTCTTACAAGACTTCTACAGACACTGTATGAGAAGAGAGAAAAAAGTTTCATCTGTAGTGACCACTTTATATTTGTTATTAACATGTCTATTAAACTCGATTGCAAATCTGTCCTAGCTTTTTAAAAATATGCATTTTGATTTCGGGAAAAGTTGACTGGAATTAGGATGTAGAAGCTTGGGTAGGGAAGTCCGTTTGTACAGAAAAAAGGATGCCAGAAAGTGGTTGCATCTAAGAAAAATATTTGAAATATGATCCCTGCAGAAGAATAAACCAAGGAGCTACGGCAGCCTATGACAGAAAGTACACAAGTACTAAGAATTTATTTTATTGTGATGTCTTCAACTAAATATCAAACAGCTCAGAACATAAATATTTAAGACACTGCTACACAGTCTACCATCAAATGACTAACTGGATAGAAAACAAGAGGTATGTGTTCACAAAGTCTAGCATTAACTAGCTAAGTTTGAATGCAGCTGAGAGGCTTTATAACACTGTCTATAAACCTCCAGTACAGCAGTATCCATCACCTAATGCTGCAGAGGCATTTTCACAATGCTTGGTGTATTTTGTTTTGACATCAGTGCTCTTGCCCGGCTGCATCTTCTAATACTGGGTTTTCAGAAGCAGACCTGGAAAGCTACACAAATTTAGTCACTAGGTTCTTTAGCCAGCGTATGTTTTTTTTCAGTGAGTGGTTCCAAGAAGCTTCAGCTAGATCACCTCAGATTGAAATCAAGGCACAAAGGAAGGGTTAGGCAGACTTTGAAAAACAAAGACCACAAACACATACAGCAGTACCAGAGCACAGTTATGTCTGGTGTAATCTGGGACTGTCATGACAGAAGCCTCCTTACTACCTTGAAGTTTAACCTATTCATTGGACCAAGTATAAGACTCTAGATAAAGGTTTGGCAAGCTTTCATCTTCATGGGCCAACTATTTCTGCACATCTCCAGCACCTAGAACCACCTCCCTAACTACAGGAAAGCTGAGGAGTGACTTTTTACAAGGGCAGGTAGCAACAGAACTTCAGGTAATGGTTTTAAACTGGAAATGGGTAGATTTAGACTAGATATTAGGAAGAAATTCTTCAGTGTGAGGGTGGTTAGACACTGCAGGTTGCCCAGGGAAGTTGTGGATGCCCCCTCCCTGGAAGTGCTCAAGGCCAGGTTGGACAGGGCTTTGGGCAACCTGGTCTGGTGGGAGGTGTCCCTGCCCATGGCAGGGGGGTTGGACTGGATGATCTTCAAGGTCCCTTCCAACCCAAACCATTCTATGATTCTATGATAAATCTGCATGTTAGTAGAAAGTATAATTAGGGCTTTGTTTTTACACATACATCCTATATAGAACATATATATATACATCCCATACACATATATTAGTTACATATATATAAACCAAACATGCATCTGTGTAAAATAGATTGTGAGATGTATTCTTTAAATATAGCACAGTATGTATATATTTACATCTCCCCTATTACATCTGTAAACTTTAGATTTGCTAGAA